CATTATCTCTCACACTCACACCCACATTATCTCTCACACTCACACCCACATCATCTCTCACATTCACACTCACATTATCTCTCACACTCACACCCACATTATCTCTCACACTCACACCCACATTATCTCACACCCACATCATCTCTCACACTCACACCCACACCATCTCACACACTCACACCCACATCATCTCTCACACCCACACCATCTCACACACTCACACCCACATCATCTCACACCCACACCCACATCATCTCTCACACCCACACCATCTCACACACCCACACCATCTCACACACACACCCACACCATCTCACACACACACCCACACCATCTCACACACACACCCACACCATCTCACACACTCACACCCACACCATCTCACACACTCACACCCACACCATCTCACACACTCACACCCACATCATCTCTCACATTCACACCCACACCATCTCACACACTCACACCCACATCATCTCACACACCCACATCATCTCACACACCCACATCATCTCACACACTCACACCCACATCATCTCTCACACCCACATCATCTCTCACACTCACACGCCCATACACAGACAGTGTCACGCGCCTCGGTCCTGGTTCGTGTAGTGGAAGCCCCAGGGCGGACTTGAACAGACAGCTGTACAGTGCAGTGGACAGGGCGTGTCATTCACCAACAGGACTATTTACAGCCCTCTACCTGAGTCCCCTTAGCCTGCTGGGTACAACGTGGCGCTGATGCAAAATGAGGTGGAGGGGGGCGGGGGGCAGGAGCAAGCCCAGGAAACACTGCAGGGCTGCTCTGGATTTGGTGTGTTTACTCAGCAGAAGTAGGAGAAGGTGATGTAGTTATAACAACCTGCTAAGTACAGCAATCACATAAAGCGGAGCGTGGTGGGGGCTCACAGGATAATACGGTACTGCGGGGGATACTGGGAAATTCAGCACTGCGACTAAATCAAGTGTGTCTGCTTTATATATGCAAATTCAGCACTGTGACAAAATCACAAGAGTGTGCGTTTTTTATATATGCAAATTCAGCAAGAGCTCATGTTCAGGTATCACAGCCTGAATCTCGCTCTCGGTCTCTCTCGATTTCACTTCCTAACCAGCAGGAGAAACACCCCCGCCCGGCAGTGACCGCCTGCAGAAGCAGCAGACGCCGGCAGTGGTGGGCGGGAAGACCCCGGAACTCCGGCAATAGCCAAACCGCCGCCTTCCAGGCAAACGGGCAGAGCCGGCCGCACTGCCATATGGCCAATCAATTAGCGGCTCCCGTCCCCCAAACGGGGGAAATAAAAACGAAGGCGGGCGCCTGACGCACACAGAGCCACACGGGCGCGTCACGGATGCCATTAATCATCATTCTCTGGGACGCTGACAGCAAGGCTCACATCCGGATATTTTATTATGGTGCCGTTCCCCGGCACAGTTATGCAGAGCTGCAGCCTGTGCCTGCGATTCAAACAATTAGGGCTTTTGGTCACTCATATTGGCCACACTCAGGCCCTAACACAAGCATGTACACACACACACACACACACACACAAGAAAAAACAAAACATCAGATGGCTGGACAGATAAATTGTTTCATCTTCCAGGGCACCTGCTTCCACCAGACTCCGCAACCCTCATCCGTGCTGTCTGGCCCAAACCGTCAGATGCTCTGGCTAAACTTTGTACCGGCTGCCAAAACCAACAGGAACGTGGTAGAGCAACGGACGGGGAGGGGTGGGGGCAGAGCATCTTGAAGGGACGGGCTGCAGAAACAGACCAAATCAGAGGCCCCGCATCCCAAGAGGGACGCAGAAGTGGACTGGAGCCGGAGCAAACGAGTCCTGACCAGGACAGACCGAGTGGAGGGCCATGCAACATGGGATGCCCCCACTAACAGGGGGTGCCCGTTGTCAAGGGAGGGGGCATGCCAAGCTAGACGGGGAGCCAAGGCGACTTACAGCACAAACAAAGAGGGGAATAAACAAACAGCACAAACAAAGCAGGGAAACAAAAATAAATGATCTGTATCAGATTAGAAATCACATCAGGGCTGTTAATTATCTCCTCGTCAAAGGAGCAAGAAACTAAAATAAGAAAACCAACGGCCAGACTAGTTGATTCAAACTTTAAATAACTATAGACTTCACGCAATTCCTGTTTTTAAACTACCCCCGTCGATAAGAGCGCTAAAAAAATGCTTCCTCTTTAAAACTAGGGAGTTCTACATAACTGCCCCCCCCCCTCCGCAAAACTCCAGAACCCCCTCTCCTCCATCCACCCCGCCCCACACAGCTGCAGGATGCGGCCTTGATGCACCCGGAAGACGGCGTCTGGGTGGCTTTCCTGTGCCCACCCCACCCCCCCCCACCCTCACACAGTCCCATCGCCTGTCAGGCCCGATTGGGGGTCCAAGCTCGGGGCTGTGGAGATTCCCCATAAATATATACACAACGTTTAGTACATTCCTCTGCAACATGACAATATACCTCACAGCTGCATATGGCCAGTTTCCAAAGCCTCAGACGACTGTACTGCGCCACCTAGACCCCCACATGAGGCTGCACCTCCCTCACCCCAGCGGTTAACCAGACACAGATTGCCAGCTCACCTGCACCAGGCGGTAACGGGTCTGAAACAGAAGCCCTCTGTGCATATGTGCTTAAAACAGCTTAACAAAGGAAACAAAGAAAAGAGGAAGCAGGAGGACAGTGGACAAGGGAGGCACTGGAGCCGCTCAGAGCCCGATTCTGATGCACAGACGGCCTATATTAGAGGCCTAACAGCCCCCATCTGGTGCCCCTCTGATGCATAGGGAGCAGCTTAAGCCATGCTGCCTGCGAAGGCCAGGAGGGGGCGCACCAAGCTGGGCACGGAGAGACCACCACCCCCCACTCCCTCCACTTTTAACCGATAGGCGGGAAGCCCCACCTACGTGTTACGCTAGTGGGCAGTTCCTGCTACGCCACGCCAGGCCATGAGTAAAAGAAAGCAGAGGAGGAGGCTACAGAGGGTTCGCTGGCCAGCCTACACAGCACCCAGAACCCAGCTGCTGAGTCACAGACCAGTTAAAGCACCACATCCAGTACCGGGCTGAGAGAAAGAGCCATTCGACTTGGACAGAAGTCAGTCACGCTGGGAAATGTCCGGAATTTGCACGCAGGCAGGCAGGCAGGCAGGCAGGCAGGCAGGCAGGCACACATGCAGGCACACATGCAGGCAGGCACACATGCACGCAGGCAGGCAGGCAGGCACGCACGCACGCACGCACGCAGGCAGGCAGGCAGGCAGGCAGGCACAAGCCTGTGCACCCGCGTCATTCAGAAGCCTAGCAGAGCAGAGATGGTCCCAGTCCATCGCCTCAGTTCTGCTCTTACCAACTCTGCTACCAGCGAAAGCACCTTAACAAAAACATTGACAAAAATCTGCCATGATAAATAGTTTGGTCAGACTAATCTAAAAAGCATAACGGAGATCAATGAGCTCACATCGGCACATGAACAGTGTGTATGATGAGCAGCAGGAATGAGCCCAAAGCCGGTCGGGACACGGCACTGGCCATACCGAATGGGGATGGGCACGGGAGCCGGCGAGGGCGTGGAGGCGGAAGTGACCGGCTGGGTGGCGGGCGACTGGTTCTGGGCGGGCTCCTCTGCCCGGGGCACCTTCCCCATGCGGTACCAGATACCCATGCTGTTCAGCTCCCTGAAACGAAACCAGAGCCCAAAAATAAATTGGGGGAGGAGGGGGAATCCCAATCAGGGAGTCCTTTACCGACAGTAGCAACGTCAATCAGGGCTCAAAAGCATCCCCGTCGGGAACGCCCCTCATTCGAGAATGATGGACAATGAGAAGCCCCACCCCCAACTCACCCGATGAAGGTATACTGCGGGGGGGCCTGCTTGGACCTGCCCAAGATGCGGATGTCACAGATAGCCGCCTCGGTGGAGTCGCGCGGGATAAACTTGATGCAGAGCCTCCTCTTTCTGAAGGCCTGCTCCTCTGCATGGTGCGGGGGGGGGGGGGGAAGGCGAGGGGGGGGAACAAGGCGAGGGGGGTTACAGAACGATCCACCGAAACCCCAGGAGGTGTTGCCGCTGTCCCCTCCCAACACTGACTGAGGTCTAGTCCCATTGACTGCCAATCATCCTATGGCACCCATCCATCGCCGATGACTGGAGTACCGACCTGATCTCTGCACTGTTTTATATACGGAGCAATCCCTCAAACTTGAAAGTCCAAGGTACCAATAGCAATATCCTCCACTTAACATAGCCATCAGGCATGACCCATTGGTACCACCCCCCAAAGACGGATGTGTGACAAACGTCCCACTGAGCTCCGAGAAGTCAGAAGAGGGGAAGGAGGAGGAAGATCAACAAACAAAGAGAAGGCTGTGTTTGCTCACGTGTGTCCACCGTTTCTTGGATGGGGATGAAGCCCACTGGCAGGGTGTCCTTCATGTCGATCAACTTCATGTCCACCAGCACGTTTCCCAGATGGCTCTGCAGAGGAGGGCAGGAGACCACAGAGAAAGATCAGAGCTCTCAGTGAACCACACACAACATTATAGGCTCTGCCTCTCTAAGGACTTTACCAGCAGTGGAAGCCTCATCAAAACACCTTTAAACAGACTTAGAAGATTAAGCATCATTAAAGACAGACTCACTCCCAATCCTGGAAAGATTAAGACTCACTGTCAGTTAGGTGGAGATCTCAGAAAATTATCTACGTGAAAAGATTTCAGCTGCTAAAGAAATGTTGTCAATTGTGTGTATGAGTGTGTGTGTGAGTGATCATATACATCCCTTCATTCAGATCAGCCTGGTCATTTCTACCCAATGAATGTTGCGTTTCCGTCCAGCTTTGCTTTTAACAGACAAATCATCATGGTAAACTGAATGCTGAGCGGCTCTAATTATCCGAGTTAACGAACATTTAGGAAGAACAGTGACAACAAAATGACTAAATGTTTAACATTTTTAGTGTGGTTACCTGAAGTGAAAACTGATTATTAACAAACACATAATCATTACTCATTCATAGCCCACAAGCAAGTGATTCAACACATCAACAAACAGCCGGTTAGCATTTCAAAGTTTCACTAAGGATCTAACAAAGGAATGTATTGCATGAATACAAATGTGTAAAGTCCTCAATGACATATTCAGTTGCATGACAAACAAAACGCCTCCTTCATTTAATCTCTCCCAATTAACCTAATTAATTGAACGTGACCACAGCACAGTTTATTTTCAACTTCACCTATCAAGACCTCTGGCCCGTGACGAATCACACACGGGCGTTGCGTGATCCGGTTGCTAATTAAACGCCGTCGTCCTTCACTGCTGGCGATTACGGCGGGTGACGGACGAACCGGCAGGCTAGGACACTCATGTTGATGCCGCTGTCACGTTACATTCCAGTCAAAATTGTTCTCTTGCCTCCTATTTTAACCCATGCAGAGACTCTCTTAGACGCTAATAGAAGCTCCTTATGTACCCCCTTAACAAGGCTGCAGGGGGTGCATGTTTCTGTTCAGGCGGGGTGTTCCTAAAATCCAAACTTGAACATTGATACGATACTGCGTATTATTTCCATTTTACACAGAACTTACTATATTCTGCATTTTTGTGTACCTTCTGGAAATCCTCACATTCTTAGGGAGATTTTCCCAAAAACTAGAGCTAAATAAGAGCAAGGATGTTGAACCCATCGATCAAGGTCCAACAAAAAAAAGACTCACTTTGGGACTAGAACCTGCAACCATTCAATCACAGGTTACTTTCCATTAACCATTAGGCTATCTACAGATGTGATGCCATTATAAAGCAGTATTTCAATACTATATACGCATACCAGTATCAATTTACCAAAAGTGATTGCTCCAGTAAGGATTTACCATGCTGATCTACCATCTACCATCTCCCGTAACTTTGGATTTATTAAACCATTCAGAAGCTAAAACCAAAAAAAACAGAAACCCTTCACCCTCATGAAATAAAGGGGTGGTGCACTCTTTCGGCATGCCCCGTTCCCACCCACTCGTCACCCTGCTAGAATGCAGATGTAGGACAGGAAATCTGGGAGTGTCTCTGGTGCAGCCTTTTGATGCGACTGGCTCAGGTCTACCACACATTCTGCATTTACTCTCACGCGTTCTGCATTTACTCTCACATGTTCCACTCACTGCCAGAAGAAGGCAACATCACAGATGGCTAGAAGTCTCTGTAGAGTAGTAAAGGCCAATGAAAGAACCATGCCATAGAACCTCTTCACTCCGTTCAGCCTAACGCTAGATTTCACTCCTGCAAACGACATACGGATTAGTAACTAAATCGGAACAGCAATGTAATCAGGATCTGCCAACCTGCTGCCAACTTTCAAAGTATGATCAATCTGCAGGTCCCTTGACGACCATAAATAAAGACCAAACCAAAGTAGGAATGTTTGAACTGTCATTTGCCATTAATGTACATTTTTCACAAAGACAATTATATTATTTTCTATGCCTTCCTCAGCTTTGAAAAGCAATCGCACAGTGCCTAGACACTCAGCTGGGACTTTGTTAATCAAAACAAAAACAAACACACACAAACAAAACTGCACACTCTCGCTCCAGATTATCATAGCAAAGGCATATATCCCCCGGGGGCGCAATAGAGTCCGCTTCATTTCAAAGAATTTGTTTTCTGCATCTGGAACACAAGTAAAAAAAACAGCGGCAACAACCAGAAACTAAAATATTTATTAAATAACTCTGACATTCGTCAAAAGCCTAGTTTGGGGTCTGCAGTCAACCACAATCGCTCGTTAACCCCCGCCATCGCAAAAAAGTTCACTCACGTTTTCCTTGGAGAACACTCGGGTGAAACAGAGATAGCGTGTGACCTTGGACTTGAACAAGCCATCCTTCCACAAGTCTGCATCAAAGCCGTCTGTCGTTTGAGAAATCTGTGGGACATAAAGGTGTTAATAATTGAGGTGTGGAGAACACCAATACAGACTCAAGCAGAGCTCTTGTCTGTATGTGAATTCATACTCATATGACTGTGTTACCACACTACACTGGTCATAGAGCAACTGTCACTGCATCCATCCATCCGTTTTATATACCCGCCAGTCCTATGCAGGGTCACAGGGATCCGGAGCCTATCCCAAAGGCTACTGGCACAAGGCAGGGAATAACCCAGGATGGGGCACCAACCCATCGCAGGGCACACTCACCATTCACACACACAGTCACACCTATGCACAATTCCCCAATTCCTATTCACTTGAGCATGTTTTTGGACTTGCACACACTATTATTAATACATTGTATATTTACCATTCCTGTATACTTCCAATATTTGCACTATTTCGGCGCTGATGTTGTTTTTCACCTCACCTACACCCCACCAACTGTCGAGTGATGTGACAAAGTGATCTGATTTTGATCTGAATCTGACCGATAATTCAGGTCCTGCACTGTTCAACAGACAGGCTTAACTGATCTTTTACCAACATCGTACACACTTATGATGGATATCTGCCCCAGCATGGAGATTCACCATACTTTACTGAGCTCTTAACACAATCCAGCAGCACCGACTGGGGAGAAAGGACATTTTTACATGCATTATCATTCTTTATAAATTGTTCTAAACTGAGTGGCAGTCAGCACAATCACTACCAGCAGGTTTCCCAAACTGGTTTTCGGGGACCATGTTTTTGCTCCCTCCCAGCTCCCTGCTATACAGTCCACATTTTTGCTCCTTCCCGGCACACTACCAGGAGCTAGTGGGGAGGACCGGTTTGAGAAACACCGCTCTATCGTACCACAGGCACGGCTGGCGTTCCACGGCCTCACAATGACATCCATTCTGCACCCTTCAAAGGGGACGAGGAGAGGGAAGAAGGGAAGTCAATAGGGTCCAGAGATCTGAAGGCGTGGAAAGGTTGTGACAAAGGGGGGCATTCAGGAGAGGGTAACCCCCCATCCACGGGGACTGGCCAATAAGCTGGCAGAGAAACTATGCTGGTGATGTGGGAGGATAATCCACTGATGGCACCAGAGCCATGCTGTGGAACAATACAGGACTATTTATGCTGGAGGGGGGTTTGCAGACTTTTAGACCAATTTTCACAGTCCCTGCCTTCCCCTCCCTACACAAGAGGGGGGCGCCTTATAAGGAAGGGGCCTTTAAAAAGAAGGGCATTCCATCACGTCCAAACAGGACAAAATGCAGCAATGAGATGTTGTCATGGCAAAATATGACCTCAGAACAGAGGCTGGGTACCACCGCCAATCGAACAGCACCTATAGTCTGAAGCCACACACAAAATACAACAGCGAGCTGTGCTACACTAAAGACAAGCTGGCCAAAGTGACAGAGCCACCAGAGCCACTCATGTTCCAAACCACCTCCAATCTGGCATTGTCGAAGCTTAAACCCATATCCACCCGAAACGTGTGCACAGGAGCCAGAACATCACCATGACGACTCATACGCCTTCAGAAAGCTTCAGGTCCATGTCCTAAAAGCAGCAGCTGTCATGGTACTGCTAGGCGCTGTCACTTGAGCTTAACAACTAGCAACGCCAAAAAGCTAAAGGGTAAAATCATGAACTAATAAAGTGTGCTGGATTTAACTTGTCATCAAAAACTACAGAAGACAGTTACTATTATAACCAAAGGTGACTGGTTTTCCATAAAGACCTAATGTTGCGATGATTTGCAAAGGGTGCGACTTAAAAATACCGGTAAATTCACTAGAATCAGATCACAGGGCTATACTTCAATTCCCACACCACTAAGGACTGCTGATGAACCTTTCTGCCGCGCGTCGGATCAGACGGAAAGCAGCCCCCAGATTCTGGAACCTTGGGATCAAAGCTTTAACATTGCACAGGTGTGATTCGACGACAGCAACGTGCCGGAGGATTACGGGATCACAGCACCAGCGGACAGATAAGACAAGTTTAGGCATCGACCTCCACTTGACATCGGGTCAGGGGTCAAGAATGTGTTTACTTAAGGAAAGCAGCAGCCCAATGATACCTCCCCCTCCAGCACCAAAACACACAGGGTTCTCATGACAACCCTGGAGGGCAGAGTGTTTTCAATGCAGAGGACCCACATTCAGAGTGCAAACAAACATATTCTAGCGAGTGCATGAGTCATTTTCATAAGGGAGATGATGGCTCTTTTAAAATGGAAGTTGCTCTCTTTATAACAGCCAATAGTGGTTTAATACTAACAGAGGCCAGCAATTTAAGTGACAGTCAGTTACATGCTAACAAAACACACACACTTCACAGAAAGCATTACACGGTCATGACATTCTCTATCAACATAAATACACATAATTACTATTTCAAGACAGGCACAGAGTGTTGCAAAGCATGCCAGTAACTGCATAATTAGTTCTGCTGACCAACCCCACGGCATCACATTTATGTCAGCCAATCATGGACAGTGGGTGGAATCAGAACAGATGAAAAAGTTTGCCTCAGGGACCCTGCCCAGGTGCTACGCCGAGACAGAGGTCACCGCTCATATGACGTTGTACTGCTGAAAAGACACATATTCTGTCAATTTCATCTGAAGTATACAGCCACCTTAAAGCATAGATAGGTGTATGGGTGATAGTAGACAAGGACAGCAGGACAGAGACCCCCCTCCCCCACCCCAGTCAACATTCCAAAGAGGAAATGAAATGCTGAGGACCACCGGACGGAACATGGACCCATCCTCCTTACCACATCGTAGCCAGAGGGTGCCTTGTTCCGCGAGGCCACCACCCCAACCCCAGTGATGGGGTCCATGGGCAGCTCCGGCAGGGCATCGGACAGGTCCCGTACCTCGGGCATCATGGCAGAGCTCTGCAATGAGTCGGGTGGGGATCAGCGGAGCAGCCAATTAAGGAGGAGCAGCGTCATCAACAGGAAGGGGGGGGCTACTGACAAGCGTAAAGCTTGATGAAGGTTAGGCAGAAGCAGCCAAAAAACTCAGACAGGATGAAGCAGGAGTACTGGCCCGTCCTAATTAAAAGCATCATGCTTTTGCCATTACCACCATTGTATTCTTTATTTTTGGCATTTTGTGCTCTATTGTTATATTGCACACAGTGAAAGCTACGCCTTTGCACAATAATTTCCCTCAGGATAAATGAACCTATATCTTATCATTAAAATGTATAATTTTTGCTCATCACAATACAAATTTCAGCTAAGTGAATAAAACCACCATTAAATAGTTAAAAATGCTTTATTTTCCCAGTTCTATTAACAATATTTGGTTAATAATTATTAGGGCTGGGCGATATATATAGATATTATATCACGCATGCGCAATAATCACTAGGGTTTCAGATGACAGATGAAGCATTTGGTCATGCGCCAGCTTTTTGGTGAAATACGGACATTTATTTACACCCACAATTTAAGCAGTTCAGTAGTATGGCTAAAATATTAATGAGACTTTGTATGACGTCCAAAAGACATTATTAGTATAAATACGGCATATCCTCATGTTTAATAAATGTGTCAGACTTTGAACTGCAAAAAGTACCACCACACCGCCGACGTCTTTTTACCTTGTTCATCCACAAGATCTCCTCTTTTAAAAGATGTCATGGCTGCTCTTCTTCACCGCGACTTCAGTGCATATTGCACTGCGGTATACCAAACCGCAGTATAGCAAAACAGTATTATGTGGTATGCTCCCCTAATCGAATTTAAGAAACAAAGTTTATACAGATTACTAACTTTTGGGTATCACAAAACGCATCTCATTAATATTTAAGCCATACTAATCCTCTTACCAAATTATGGGCGTAAATTAATGTCCGTATAGCACCGAAAAGCTGGTGTCCGGCCAAATGCTTTGTCTGTCATCTGACCAGGGGGGTGATTATTGCACATGCGCGATGTGATATCGATATGATATCGCCCAGCCCTAATAATTATTAATGAATGTCCCCCTTTGTCACTGTATAAATTGCCCAAACCCATGCTGATACAAATGGAGGCATTCAAAGTGAACGGAGCACCATTCCCACGGGCGCAGGACCCGGAGGCCTAGACCTGCCCCCAGATCCTCAAAAAGCGGGACTCCCTGTTTCATCATAGGTGAGCAGAGACAGAGGAGAGCGACAGCCACAACTGAGGAGGAGCGTCCACCAGGACGGGTCTGTGGGACAGGGAGCTCGGCAGCATTAACATGTCCAAGGGGAGGCACTGAGGGGGCATGGGATGAGACCAGGAGTCCCATTAGTCTGGATCCAAGGACCGCTCTCAAAATAGGGCCATAGTGTTGCATGCAATGCAAGCAAGCAGCTTTTGGCTTAACATGCATCTCCATTTGGTGCTTCACCAAACAGACGTTAAAAATATACAAAAGCTTTATCACAGCTGCTGTATACACTCATTATTTGTACCACTGTATATATGTACATTTATCTGTTTATCACATTTTTATATGTCGTACAGCTATTTCTAGCACTTTCGCACTTTCGGATTTGATACCAAACTGCATTTCCTTGTCTGAGTCCTTGTACTTCAAGCTATGACAAATCTAATTTACTGCTCTTACCAAAGTACAGCCTTCACAATTGCTAATAACAGGCAAAATGAGAGCCAATCACTTTGCAGAAAATCATCATAAGTCGTTTCCCATTGGCTGCTATACTGGGTTTCACTAGGCGGTGACTGATAGCAAGTCGCAGACCACACTTGCTAAACACGTAGCTTAGATTTGTCACACTGTGATATATTCAGCTGAAGTATCCAAGGTAGCATGGGTTTAAAGAAAATCTAAGTATATCATTCATATATCAAAAGGGAATCTGATGTCTAACCAGTTACAATCTCAAACCTGGTTTCATGGCTACTTTTAAGTTTTTCCCATTACTGAAGTGTGGAGATACACATAACATACCACTGGGAAGTTCCTGCCCAGGCACACCCAGAGAACACAACACGTTAGTGACAGGCACTTTAAAGAAAACATCTCCAGATGAAGGCACCAGATATAATCCACTTATTTCACCAAACTCGTTTTCCTCCAATGCAGTCTGAGACCAAATAAAACATTTCATTCGAGTTAAATAAAAATAAACACACACTTCAAAGGGAATTTTCAGAGCCAAAACTCCCAGGAGAGGATTTTGGGCCCCCCTCCTTGTGAATAAGCTTCCTTGGCCAGGACAGTCAGCAAAGCTGGAATGTTCTACAGACCCCTGAGGGGACGAGACTGAAGAGCTGAAATAGAGAGTACTTTCAGACAAAGTACTGGGCTTTCGTGCAGCTCTGCCAAGCGTGTCCTAGGCTCTGCACACCCTCTCCCACCAAAATGGGGGAAAGACCACATTCTGGTTAAACACTAAACACAAAAACAAGGGGTGCATGAAGGCATGTGACCAAATGTTAATCCTACAACCATGCCCATGTAGTTTGATGGGGACCAGAATACCGAGGAAACTCAAACCCCTCATTTTCCCTTGTTTTTTACGTGAAGCATCACTGGAAATGTAAGGCTAAGTAGACAGCAAAAACACGGGCCACTGTGTGGAAGCAGACTGGCACCAAGTAGAAGGCGGCGCCATCTCGCTAGTCATGACACAACCGGCACCACTACAAACACTCGATGTGGAAATGGGTGCCAGGCCACAGGAAACCTCTCATTTACATGTGTGGCTGCAGAACAAGCCCTTCATTAGGGCCCAGAATCACTGGCTGCCAGCCAAGGGGAACCCTTTTACTGGTGGGGATTCCCCAAAGTGAGATGGTAAAGATACTGCTCTCCAGAGGAAACTCCGGTGATCTCTGATTTATTATATTTCATCTCAGGTTGGTCTGTAGCCAGCGGCTAGCAGGGAACACCGTGCAATAACGCAAATAAGATATAATCAGGGCCTTAATAGATCCAGCAGATAAGAGCATTATAAAGGAAACCTGGCTGAAGCTTGAAATCAGAGTTGTAAATTAGCTTAGTTACCAGATTTTCGAGCATTAATTTAAAGGTTTAACTGGAGTAGTAACACAACAAGGGCCAATAACATCAATAATGAAGAACGGGGGCCAGGCAGCACAGTATGTGCCCACCTAGTGGTATGAACAAGAAGCAAAACATATAAATCAAGTGAAAGGCGCTGAAAAGGAAACTGACACAGAGACAGGTGAAACAAAGACTTTAACAGTTAGAACTACAGTAACATGACCTTCAAACCACAAAAGAACAATCAATTCTTCTGGCCGCAGTAAATGGAGCTTATTTTTTTTAGACAAGAGACCAAAATGTCACAGCGGATGCAGAAGCCCTCATCTATAACACATTCCACACATTAAAAACATGTATCACTCTGCTTCGGTCCCTCACCGCTCCCAGCATTGTCATAAAATCCCGAGACATCTCTCTAAATACTGCAAACCAATAGCGAAACACTGATACTGGAGCCCTCTCCTGTAAATAGGACATGTAATTTCAGTCAGAACAAAACATTCATGGGCTTCATTTAAACAGGCTCACAATGGCTTCGTATTGCACCCATATATCGACTGGGGATCTCAGCACACACAGGCTGCCTGAACGAAAACAAGGAGATGAAGTCTGGCATGTGGGGAAAAGCCAGACAAGCGTCAATACACTTCTGCTCACTGAGTCCTATGGAGTCACTACTTCATTCTTACGAACGGGGGGAGTGGGGTAGCTTCCAAACATTTTCCTCTGAAACTCCATAACATGGTTCCGGTGTATTTCACTTCAGCATAAACATTTACTTGATTTTTCAATTGTATGAATCGGGGGATAACTTTTCATTCTGAAATGAGTGTAAAACACAATCACGGGGAAAGTGACTTTCTCGTGTGGCATTTTCGCAAACTGAGAAGATGCCAGAATGGGGTGTGAAAGGGTGATGAAAAGTCCCTTTCAGATAGCCCTTGTTAAAATTCAGGCGGCGTTACCCTGGGACTGAGGCGACTGTATACATGCCAATTCCAGATAAAAAAAAAAAAACACATGGCTAAAACCAGCTGCCCAAACAAATCCTTTCCACTTCCACATAACCTGACCAAACAAAACCAAGACATCTACCAAATTCAAAACATTTACCCTCGAAATGAAAGGCCACGCTTTAGTCATACTCCAAAGAAGGCACCTAGCCCTCACTGGCATCTTTCTCTTTTGATAGCAGACCCTTGACAAAGTTGTATTTGTAAGACCATGTCCTGTTAAAATTAAAAAAAAAAAAACAGAAAACTGCACTGTTGCATGCATCCTGGGAAATACTCCTACCCAGTTCTGCCTGAAGTTGTGGAAGGACATCCATTCACATCCGAAAGTGCATTAACCACAGATACTGGTCACACTGCACTTGCAGTTATTTAGAGAGAGCACAAGAGACAATACATAACACCACATTGTTACACTGGGAAACAAAAGCTATGGTGATATCCCTCTGGTGCACGGGATGAGGTGATCGTGCCGCAGGATTTTGGGAGCATGCCCAGGCGATCGGATAGACTTACAGCTGCAGATGCAAATTTAATACCGACTACACAAGTGTTAAATGGCGTTAAATTTGCCTACCAGCTTAACATTATTTGAGATGGACCGTGTCATGTTCCAAGTCACCACACGTAAAGCTTTCTATCTGAAAGGTGGAGCAGCGCTGAGATACCGTCATGGCATTAGCATCCAAAGAAAAAAAAAACAGTGCGGCATATTTCAATTAAATAATTTTTTAAGACTTGGGTCATAGGGGCCATAACACCGGCCCTCGCTGGACGTGACTCTCGGCGTATTGAGCTCGTGCAATGCGTCTATGAGTTTAAGAGTTAAGCCACACTTCACACAAAACTGTTAAGAAATTTCCTCATCGAGGCCATGCGTAAATTTAGCCAACGGTTTTAAAACCCTGTTTGTAAAAAACAGCGATATCATTTTAGTGTACAATAACAGCGGCTTAACATAGCCCCTTCACACGTTTTAAAATGCAAAATGTTATTTATCATGCGCGTCGCTGCTCACACCGTTTGCTGACTTAACTGTTCGGGGGACCTGGTTCCTCCTTCTCAGACAAAAGCAGCTTTTCATGAGGCCCCGGACTCGCGTAAAGGCCAAGGCGGACAGAAACGACAGGGAGGGCGGCCGTGGGGGGCAGGGAAGTGACGGCGACGGCAGAGGGGAGAGCAGTAGCAGCTAGGCGGCTAACTCATCGTCGGTTTTCTTACCCAGTGAAGACAACAATTTTTAAACTGCACAAGGGAGTGAAAAATAATCTCTGCCTATTTACTGATCCGTCTCTTTTCGTCTTCTCCCCGTCACGGCTGCAGATCCCGCATGTCTCGGTTTGTCTTTAGCAAACATTTAGCCGCCTCGCTATCATCCTAGCGGTGGACGCGGCTCCTAGTGGCTGTGCGAGATTAACGGAAGGTACCGGGAGAGAGAGAGAGGGAGACCCCTGCGTCACAGGAGCGGGAATGCCACTTTCCGTGTATGTGTGTGTATGTGCGCGTGTTTACCACATTGTAAGGACCAGATGGCCACACGATGTGACAAAACCTGCTACTTTTTAGCTTACGGCGATATGTTTCGATACCCACAATAATCTGTGACTGCAATCAAAAAACTAAAAATGCAAAAAGTCACGTACTCAGGTTACTTGTGGTTAAGGTGAGGGCTGGGTAGGGGTAAAGGGTGTCATAGTTTGGATTAGGGTTTTTCCCATAGAAATGAATGGACAGTCCCCACAAATATACAAATTCAGCTCGATCTCTCTCTCTCTCTCTCTCTCTCTCTCTCTCTCTCTCTCTCTCTCTGTCAGAGTAACAAGCGAGTATATGTATTGTACAAGTAACTTAATATCAGAATTTTTGCTATTCTCATATATAAAAAATGTCAAAGCATAATTTGCTAATAGTAAAATAGTATTGAACCCTGTACAGGGTGCTCTTGATAATGACACGTGAATAAATGATGGATGTATGAATAATGTTTGTATTTGAACACTTTTCCCTAACTCTGTAGTAACATTTTTGTGAGAAATGTTACCACAAGAACTGTAAGCCCTGAAAAATAGGCGGGTCTAACAAGAAACTCCACCTTTTAACATTAGCCAATATTCAAAAATAGATATATACTGATAGTGCAACATTTGATGCTTTTTATAATTGTTTTCCAATGCTGCTGGAGCAGTTTGACTTTTTGTATCGAACTGAGGTGAGTTGTTGCGAAATCTTTATAAACAACAGGTAAATAATAATAATCATATTATCAACTATTCACAAAGATGTGACTTGCTAAGGTTTCAAAGAGGAACAAATAGTACAAAGTCTCAAAAAGAACCTTTAAAAACAAAGATAGCATATAGTCAACACATTACATTTTAAAGAAAACTGTTATTGTTTCCCTTTTGTAACAAGGGGGAAAGTGACTGGAGATTTGGTTGTGTCTTGGTTTATTTTAGTGCTTGTGAAGGTCTTCATTTTCTCTACTCTTGCATGTTCTTTTTACCTGTTTTATTTAATTACTTTTATTTTTAAATCATGATTTTAGTTGTACCCAGTTGATTTTTTTTTTATCTGACTGCATATAATAAAACATTGTTGTTTTGCAGATTATTTGTAGCTACAACTTGATTTAATGACGTATGAATGTTCACGTACACTTATTAAATGACACTGAGAACGCTATTCAGGTGCTGAGATCTTTCAGTCTTCCATTTACCTCGGAGGTCGGACCTCGGAACTGGGAATGACGTCACACACGAGTTAACAGCGTTCCAGTACAGCAGTCGGAAAGCCATTTAACAATACCAGACACCCGTTTCAAAAAGCAAGATTTTTTGCTTAGTCAAATAACTTGTCAGATTTAATTTACCCAAGTTTAAATAGTTTTTGTCTTTGTTCACTTACATTTAGCCCAGACTACCTTAACTCCAACAAATTGTCCACTTAAGCAAGAAATCCTGCTTACTGAAACTGGACCCAATTCTAGCCGTTATTTGTTAGCCATTGTTAGCAATATCAGTGGATAACAATACATTACGTGGTATTTTACGTATAAAAACAATGTAGCAACATGTCCGCAAATAGCGGTTGGACAGTACTCCGTGTACAACTGATTTAATGAACCACAAATAAGACGTAAGTGCTAATAAACTGTATAAAACCACAGCTTTAATTTCCACTGATAAAGTGTGCAGCTGCCGTGTATTCTGAGGTTGGGTTTGTGTAGATTCCTCCGACTTTCTGAATGGGAATTCTGACTTCAGGGGGCGTTCCAGTTTGAATTTCCGACTAGGAACTCGGAATTTCCCAGTTATGAGTTCAAATGGAATGCAGCATAACACCACTCAGTCGCAGTGCCATCATGCAGCCATCGGTGGGCCTAGGGCTGGTGTGGCAAATGTGGGCCCCGCTTACCAAGGGCCCACCCACCACATCCCGTGTTTGTGGGATTTAGCTTGTCTATTTGGCTTGCTAATCCCTTTCAGTCTTGTTAGTGAAAGAGCTGAGGAGCAGCAAACTTAATCGCTACCCTGAGGGTAGCTGTTCTGCATCAGAGGTCGTAGCGTGAAGCATGCAGCGGGAGCAGCGACAGGAAGTGGTACATCGTAATTCCCTCACACCATGTTATATATTTCTGCACAGCAGATAGACTAGAGACTGACAGGTCAAGAATGTGGCAGCAATGTGAAAAAGGAGCGTTACTTGCATCACCTTTGCACGGGAGCATGGTGTTTATGCTGCGGTTTGGAGACAATAAGCAGAACATTCAGCGGATGCCTTGGCTGCTACTATGAACACATGAGTGACAGGCCCAGAAACCACTAGACCTGTTTTTGTGGTTTAAATTCTTTGCATCACACTTAGTTAATGTGTTTCTTTTACACCTGGTTAATGAGTCAGTTTCCATTTGCATGTTCAGGCTGCGGTCAGAGGTCCAACGGTCACGTAAATACGGCACGAAATTTAAAAAATAACAACATTCAATCACCCATTTCGGCAGCTGCTTACCCAGTCAGGTTCCCAGTGATTTATAATCTGTGTCACAGGTCGTAAAAACCAGCTACACCTTCGACTGAGAAAATTCAAGGTTTTTAATTGCCATTGAAATAAAGAACTGAGGCTGGGTTTTAATCCAGGGTACTGGAGCTGGGCAGGCAGGCTGCATTCATTTTTTAAAAATCTAGGTTATTTCTTGCTACCAGCACTGTAGTAAAAAGAGCTTTGTAAATGAGTTGTCTATTTTAGAACAAAGCTTTCTCTGCCACACTTACGAAAATGGCTCACTCGGTTTAAGAAAAAGATTTAATCACTGAAAGAGCATGTGGAAGAGGGGTGGGTGGAGTCTCTACCCCAGTATGGTTGTGAAAGTCACTAGAGCATTATGAGGATTGCGTACGGGTGGTCTGGGGGGCACCAAGTTCTAGACAAAATAACCCTTTGGAGATCCTTCGTGTGTGACAGTGAACAAGGGGCCAGATGTGAGTCATGGCTGTCCCCTTTTCTTATAACCGATACATTTATTAATCATACCGCTCACACTCAAAGGAAGGGTTCTCATGTCACTGTGAAATGCCAAAATGTGAACAAAGCTTAGAAGTAATGTTCTAATTATTTCTGATTTGCAGAAAAGAAAATATAATGAATGCACTAGAGGTCTAAAGAACCATTTATAAGCATCGTGGGATTAGGCTCCATGTTAAAATGAAATAAATAAATCAGTGTAATGAAATAGCACAACCGAATCTGGTTTGCCACAGCATTAATGATGTTTTTGTGTGTTTCTTGCTATGTGGTTAATTAATTTTACAGGCGTTGCTTATTACTTCTAAGGTTAAAATGTTGTGCACTGCCAGGAATTCAGTGCACAGTCACGCAGTCACAGTGAAAAGTTTCTCTCACTCTCTCTCTCTCTCTTTAACCATGGTGGGGTTATAGATACCCTCATATCAACCTAGGAAATCTTCCTCTAAATGATGCCTTCACTGCTACTGTGAATCCATTCCTGAGCAGAACACTAAGTGTTTGCAGGTCTAATTTCATGTATGACCCCGTCTTCCCCGTCTGACTGCATGTGGAAACAGATGTTGCCCTAAAATAACTCATAAAACTTTTTTTTCTGGAACCTGCCTTTAGTGGGAGTGGTTGGCTGGCAGAAGTCGTGACTTACTGACCGTTTCTGTGAGTGATTCATGCTCAGTCACCTAACTGTTGAAACCCCATTCCACCTTGCTAGATCCTCTCACCTGCAGCATCACAGCATTTTTAGGTGTTAAATCTGGTTTGAAAAACATTTATACAGCTGGATATTTTAGTTTTCTTCAGGTTACAAACTTCACTCTAGGTGACAGCAGCAGAGCCCTACTAGGACTCAACATTCAGCTTATGAGCCTGTGTCCACAGTAAGTTTGCTACCTGATGCTGTGTGAGTTTTACCGCTCATTTTGTATCTTCAAGCCTTCCTTTCAGTTTTTTCTGCTTACCTTTTAATTTTGGTGTTATACCTGACTGCTGGATATGAGTAGCACATTGCTGGATAATAATCATAAGCTTGGTAGTTTATAGCAGTGTTCTCAAACCACTCCGCGTGGACCCCACACAGTCCATGTTTTTGCTCCCTCCCAGGTAGCAAAAACATGGACTGTTAGACAGGGAGCTGGCAGGGAGCAAAACCATGGACTGTCTGGCAGGGAGCAAAAATGTGGACTGTCTGGCAGGGGAGTGGGAGGGAGCAAAAACATGGACTGTCTGGCAGGGGAGTGGGAGGGAGCAAAAACATGGACTGTCTGGCAGTGGGGTGGGAGGGAGCAAAAACATGGACTGTCTGGGGGTCCCTGAGGACTGGGTTGAGAAATATTGGTAAAGTGACCCTGAGTATATTCATCCTCATTCTGTCCGCATTCCAAAAAGAACCAGGTAATTTCTGCCTGTGAAGGACTCCCATTCTTCGTCACTTAAGGACGCCTTGACCAACCCAGCCCGCTGTGCTCACGATTCTCCCCCCAGCATCAGCTGCTCTGACTGGCCACGCCTGACTGCCACTGTGTCCCCCCCCCCCCAACACACACACACACACACACACACCCTTGCCTGCTTGGTATGCCACCATCTGGCAGTGGCATGTGGACGTCATGCTGGTTCCTTAATTACATTACCGCTGCAATCAGTCATCAGGCTATGAGGCAGGGTGAGGGGGGTATACAGCCGGTGGGGTGGGGGGGCTCGTAAATGATAACTCTAAGTGCTGGGGGGGGGTGTATATGAGCAGCATCTCCTCTGGTGCTCACACGTTCAGCATATCTGCTAATGCTGGATGGCCTGAGTTTTTCTCTGGGACTGGGATAGTGTCGGGCCAACAGGAAAAATGGGAGGGGGGGGGGGGGGGCTACCCATGGAAGCCAGGGATCTGCATCCTGACAAAACGGATTAACAAGTAATC